TCGGCGTAATCTTGGACCGCCGAGTGAAGAAAACCTACTTTAAGGCAAAAATACAGCTTCATTTGTTATTGCATCCAATGGCAGCTGCGTAATCCAGTCCTAGGTCCGTGGCGTTCAAGTACTGTGAGTGGCCCATATTTTCGGTCTGCTTTGTTAGGAGCTTAACACACGCCCGGCGGCCGGCTAGATACCTTACGTTCGAGTGGGGGTTAGTTTGATCCCCCAAGATCTCAGGAACTAAGCAAGCTAGAGACACCAAATTTACAAGGTGTATTGAACTGTATGTGAAATCACTTAGGTCAAAGTTCGATGTTCCTAGTTATGACCTTTGGGTCAAACAAGGCCAAACAAAGTCAAATTTCAGGCTCGTCTCCAAAGTGCTCCCAGAACCTAGATAAATGTTTCTAAGCAAAAAGTCTTATGCTCATTTAAGGTCGGTGACCTTGTTTGATTCTAAAGATCATGGGGACCAAATTCATACAAAACTGCTCTGAGTTTTGCTCTTGAATAAGCAACAAAGATTACGCTAGGCAGTATGCTTCTAAAACAAATGTTGACATGGGCCATTTAGTTCAATGACTTATTTTGACCTCTAAAAATTCCATGGAAGATGCATAATGCGGTTTCTGCAATCAATAAATTGTAAAAGAGCACCAGAAACTCTCCCATACAGCAAGCCCTAAAATGCAAAACTGGTTGGTTTTGACCTTGCTCCAACCTTATACCTGAACTTGGTCAACATAACTTGCTTATTCAAGTATTGTGTTGCCTAAGAAAGCATCTCAGAGACGCATGGCTTCGTCTAAGACTCCGTGGTTGCATCAGATTGAACGATTCCCCAGATAAACTGACTTCGCTGAAAGCATGGTCTGACTTTGACTTACCATAGGTCAATGGCCTTTCAAGGTACATCTGAATTTTTGATATCAAACGATCCGCTTTTAAGTGTCTACAGCTACGTCAAATTTGGCGCGACTACGCCGTGACTTTCGTAAACATTCCTGATAAAACCTCGGAGAGGGGTCAATTTGAGCCCCCACCCGAGTGCGTGATAGACATGCCTTGATCACAGGCAAACCCTTTTTGGCTATGCCGAAGGTGATAACTTTAGTCTCTTTACACATCACAAAACAATTTGTCCCAAACAGTCTCCATAAAATTCCATTTTTTGATCATGCAGTCTAACACGTAGCATTCATGCCGTGTTAAGGCTTTACAATAAAGGCACGATCGCGTTATGAGCAAATATAAGCTTTTGCAGTAGGACCAATGTCGCGCATAGCTGGCGTAGCACGCCTGTCGGCAGGAGATTTTGCCATAGCACTAACGTGACACGCCAAAGGCCAGCGATGCAACCTGGAAACCGGGACAGGTTCAGGGCTTCCCAATGTCGCACGTGCTGCAGCCAGTCGACGCCCGGCCGCACACCACCTCAGGGAAACGCTCGGTTGAAGTTCGCCACCATCTCACGTGACTCACGGGCTGTCGCCACGTGACCGTTCGTCACATGGAGGCAGTCGCCATGCGGCAACCGTCCCGAAAGCAGGATCTCACCCAGGCCGTGCCACGTCAGTGGTGGACCGGCAGTGCTGGTCGG